ATTGTGGCAGGACATCACTGCATGGATAGAAAACATGACTCTGAAGGTGCGTCATGCAGATGCTCACATGCCCAAAAGCTGCACCACTGAGGAACATCAAAACAACAAACAGGCAGACAAGACTGTCAAAATTGAAGTGGCTCAGTTGGACCTGGACTGGGAGTGTAAGAGTGAGTTATTTGTAGCTCGATAGGCCCACAAAACATCGGGACATCTGGGGAGATGCAACATATGGATGGGCTTGTGATCAAAGGGTGGAGCTGACCATGAAGACTCATGAATGTGAAACGTGCGGCAATCAAGCCACACAAGTAGTCTCCCTGGAATAGAGGGCAGTGGCTGGGTTTCTGATATGGTGAGGCCTGGCAAATTGACTATATTGGCCCACTGCCATGAACATGCCAAAGCAAGTGCTACATACTCACCATGGTGGAAGCACCTACCAGGTGGCTAGAAACATATTCTGTAAACCATGCCACTGCTCAAAACACCATCCTGGACCTTTAAAAGCAAATTTTGTGGTCACACGGTAACCCAGATATAATTGAGTCAGACAATGGGCTTAATTTCCAAAATAACCTCGTAAACTCCTGGGCCAAGAAACATGGCATTGATTAAGTGCATCACATAACCTATCACTCACAAGCCTCCAGAAAGACTGAGAGATATAATGGATCGTTAAGGACTATGTTGAGAGCATTGGGAAATGGGGCATGGAAGCACTGGGATATAAGTTTAGAAGAAGCTAAGAAGAACTTGGTTGGTTAACACACAAGAATTTGCTAATCAGCCTGGTCCTGCCCAAACAGAAGCCCCTACATACTGTGGGAGGAGATAAGGTGCCTGTAGTGCATGCATGTAAGGAAGTCTCTGGGGAAGGCAGTGTGGGCTGCTCCTCCCTTGGGGAAAGACAAACCCATATGCGGGATTGTCTTTGCTCAAGGACCTGAATGTACTTGGTGTGTAATATGAAAGGATGGGGAGATCCAGTGTGTACCTCAAAGAGATTTTAACTTGGGGAAAATAATCTGTAATGAAAGTTGTGTGTTGTAGGAAGTAAGGTAGCAGGAACTACCTGAACCAACAAAAAGTAATCTTTGCAAGGAACCTGGTGACTGCAGTGATGACCCAAACCAAGCCAGTGTTGGTACCCAACAATCAAACACTTTGCTTCTCCTGTCCTGAGCAACCATCTTGACAGATGGGTCCCAAGTAATAGCCAGTTCTTATGAACATTTTATTCTCTACTTCCCATCAGCAGCCAGTATCCAGCCACTTACTGGGAAGTAGGGCTGAAGTATGAGTAGCAGATGCTTAGGAAGAGAAATGCCTTAATAACAAATGCCCCCTGCTCATCCTCCTTTCTCTCAGTTTTTATTGCTGAGCACAATGTCATATGGTATGGAATATCCCTTTAGTCAGCTTGGGTCAGCTCACATAATTTGATACATTTACATATTTTCTAACCATCTCATTGTATCTGTTTCTCATTCCTGAAATTACCTCTTATAAATACTTACAACCGACCAAACTTACCCAAGCTATTTTTTTTTCATTTGCTTCCATACATGCCTTTTCTTTCTTTACTGAACTGCCTTCATCTTGACCCATGAGTTTTTAATCTTATTTTCACCCCCTGTCTCATTGAGGAGGGGGAGAGATAAAGCAGCTTGGTGGGCACCTGGTGGCCAGCCAAGTTCAACCCACCACAGTGTTGAACAGAGTGGGGCCTAGTAAAGATCCCTGGGGGACCCCACCTATGACAGGCTCCCAGCCTGAGTAAAAACCATTGACCACCATCCTCTAAGTGCGACCTGTTAGCCAATTTCCTGCCCACCTTGCAGACCACCCAACCAATCTGTGTCTTGCCAGTTTGTGCAGGAGAAGGCTGTGGGTAACAGTGTTGAACGCTTTGCTGAAGTCTAGGTAAACAGCATCCACTACTCTCCCCATGTCAACAGAAGATGTTATTTTGCTGTAGAAGGTGATCAGGTTAGTCTGGCAAGATTTGCCCTTGGCAAATCTGTGCTGTCTTTTCCTAATCACCTACTTCATTTGGTTTGTGGTAGTTTCTAGGAGGACTCATTTCATTACTTTCCCAGGGATTGAAGCAACACTAATAGGCCTGTAGTTTCCTAGGCCTTCTTTGGGGCCTTTCTTGTAGATGAGTATGACATTTACCCTCTTCCAGTCATCAGGGACATCCCCTGATCTCCATGACTTTTCAAAGATTTTGGACAGTGGTCTTGCAACAATGTCAACCACTTCTCCTAACACCTTGGGATGGATTCCAGGCCCATAGATTTATGTGGGTTGAGCCCTTGCAAGAGGCCACAGACCAGCCCTTCCTCCACTACTCATGGGTTGACACGTGTTGTAGTTACTTGCTCCTGTGATCTGGGGTCCAGCTACACCAGTAAAGACAGAGACAAAGAAAGTATTGAGAACCTCTGTCTTGTCAGCATTATTAGCGACTAGTTTGCCTGCCCTGTTTAGCAATGGGTCTATGTCTTCCCTGTGCTTCTGCTTACTGCTCACATACTTAAAGAACCCTTTATTGTTGTTCTTGACATCTCTGACCAATTTCAGTTCTAGCTGAGCCTTAGTTTTCATGACTGCATCTCTGCATGCCCTAGCAAGGTTCTTGTAGTCCTTGATAGCTATTTGGCTGCTTTTCCATAGCCAGTATGTTTCTTTTTTTGCCCTTAAGCAGTCAAAAGCTCATTGTTAAGCCAGGGTGGTATCTTGTTCTGCCTTCTTCCTTTCCCTTTGTAGGGGATGGACTGTTCTTGTGCTTCCAGGAAGCTGTTCTTGAACAACTCCCAACAGTCACAGGCTGCTTTGCCCTCCATGGATGCTTCCCTCGCAGCTGGGCTCTGAGTGTATTGAAGTTAGCTCTTCAAAAATACAGGGTCTTCAGCATGCTAGGCAGGATATTAAATTCCACAATGTTGTGATTGCTGTATCCAAGGCTACCATTGGTAGTTATGTTGTCAAGTAAGTCTTCTTGGTTTGTGAGCAGTAAATGCAGCAATGTGCTGTTCCTAGTCAGCATGTCCAGCATCTGTAGCAGGAAGCAGTCCTCAATGCATTCCAGAAACCTGATGGACAACTTGTGCACTGCTGTGTTGTTTTCCCAACAAATGTCTGGGTAATTGAAGCCACCCATGATGACCAGGTTCTGTTGGCCTGAGAATTCCTTGAGTGGCCAAAGTAAGGTTTTGTCAGCCTCATCACCCTGATTGTGAAGATGGTAACAGATACCTACCATAAGATCCCCCTTGGTAATGATCCCTCCAATCCTGATCCAAAGGCCTTTGATAGAACTTTTGTGATCTCTATAATTCACCTCCATACATTCAAACTTATCTTTTACATAAAATGCAACTCCACCTCCCCTTCTTACCTTCCAGTCTTTCTGAAAGAGCTTGTAGCCATCCATTGCAATCTTCCAGTCATGTGAGTTTTCCCACCAAGTTTCTGTGATTCCTATGACATCATAACTCTCAGACTGGGCACCAAGCTCTTGTTCCTCCTGTTTGTTGCCCAGACTACTTGCATTGGTATACATGGACTTAAGGTGTCTGGACTTGTCGCTGTTAAGTTGAGACGGTCAAAGCGACACAGAAACAGACTTCTTCCAAAAGCAGGACAGGAGAGGGATAGATAGATAGATCGATAGATCCTTTATTGTAACAAGTCACCAACATTTATAGCTCTTGGCATAACATACATGTTACATTATGATTGGTGTCTGCAAATAACCATGCATCAGGATTGGCCGCCCTGTATCACACTCATGATGATTCAGCATCTGTAGACTCACGGTGACTAAGCTCCAGCAAGCTCGCTCTGACTCCGCAGAAAGCTCAGGGTATCTGCCTCTATAGTCCTGTCTTCCTTCTGGCAGACCTGCTGTTAACCCTGACATGGACTTGCATTGGTACTTGCATTGATGAGCACTTGAGGTAGCTGGACTTATGGTTCTTGCCTGTGGAGAAGATTGAGGAGCATTCCTCACATCCTGGATCTTGGCTCCTGGCAAGCAGCAAACTTCCCTGACTGTATATCAGGCCAGCTGATACAAGTGCCTCAGTGCCTCTCAGCAGAGAGTCACCCACTACTAGCACTCGCTTCTTCCTTTTGCAGTTTTTAGTATGTGTTGCTGGTGAGGTCTCTTTCTGTGAATCTTGTTCATTGGTTTTGTCTGCTGTCAAGATTTCATATCTATTGCTGGTTGGTACATACAAGGAAATAGGTGGTGGTGATATCCTGTTGGCATGGGTCACCAGAGACCACGGCACCTCCTTCTCCAGGGTGCTGTGTGCTTTTGAAGCTCTTTGTCTGGAAGTCCTTGGAGGTCAGTGCCACAGGGCCCTAGTATTTCTTCTTGCAAAGTCTCAAATATACTGTTTCTTGTTCCCCCCTCCTTAATACAGCATAGCCTGTTAACTTCCTCCTTCAGCTCCTCCACCTGCTGCCTGAGTGACTCCACCAGAACACACCTTCCACAGGTGGAACTTGCACCCTCCTCCACCCAGGGGTGTGGGGTACAGACTTTACAGCCCTCCACCTGGATAGCAGCTTCCCTGATAGGAAGCTCTGTCTGGTGGGTGGCTGCCTCCATTCATTCCAGGCGAGTCTGGCTAGATAGGTGGGCTCCCAGCTTCTGCAGAGCACAGCCCTTGCCAGGTCTCTGCCACCATGCTTCTGTGGGTAAGTAGAGCAGGAAGCACTGATAAGTGGCAGAGCACGCAGCCCTTTCTTCATGTACATCTGTGTGAACTGCCGCACAATCTTTCAGTGCCACAGTTAGAATGGAATGGAATACTTCCATTTCATTTCACTACAGAATGAAGTAGGCTAAACTATCCTCATGGTAACAAAAGAATTATTCCTTCAAAAGCCATAATGAAGAGTTTGCTATGTAACACAAAAGACTTATATAAACATGTCTTAAGACAAATGTATAGCTATATATACAGTAAAAATCATAATACCTTGTAAATGCCATCATATCTGTTGCCTTCCTCTGGGGCATATTTGCTGATCCGTCGTCCTTTTGAACTGCGCACTACTCGGACTGGCTTACCAGCTCTCCAATTCTTAGACTCTGCTCCATTTTTATCATCCAATGGGGCATCACAGTTAAGGGCCAATGCCCTGAAAATCACATTAAATATCTTTATAAAACAGATTGCTTCATACAACATACTATTGAGAATCAGTGTGACAAGATCAAATTTGTTTGCTTTATCCTATTATGTTTACTAAGCAGAATAAGAATTTGCAGTGAATTCTTCAGTAGACTGCAATATCAATGGAAGCATTGAGATCAACTCTACCATGTGGGAGAATGGGAATACAGTATATTTAGTTCCAAATGTTCACAATGAAAACTCAGCTAGTACAGTCAAATAAAAGAAATCTTCAGGTTTAATATTTTTTTTAAATAATTCTTTCTCAAGTAACATGAAAGGATTTAAAAAAGTTGTAAGAATGGCAAATTATGTCTGACTATTCCATATTTGTCGTAACGAGGAAAGCTCTGAACACTTAATGTAAGGATCCAAGAACTCCGTTTATTGAAGATTGACAGCAGCTTAATATACACTGTATAATAGGCTCATCCATATTACAGAGATTAGGCTCCTAATTGGTAGTTGACTAATAGGTGATATCATCTCAACTGCCTTCTATTGTTTACACAGGTGGCTCGTTAAGTGTTTTTGTTTTTCAAATGCTAAGCTCCTGTTTTTCAGCCCAAGTTAGAATACACAAGGTCATTGCTGCTTTCTCACGGCCCTGCTATCTCAGACTTTCTCATGGGCCTAGTCAGACTGCGTTTTATACTTTAGCAGCTCATCCATAGCCTTAGCCATATTCATATGGCCTCGTGTTTCTAACCAATCCTCAATACATATTACTGCATATTTTTAGGCTTTTAAAGTGGACATGAATTGATAAACATTACAAAAAATAACACATGGAAAAAAGTACATACTGACTATCCAAAAATATATCTGTAGCAAATATTACTGTTCTTAGTCCGTTAACTACCTAAGCTTAGGAGTTAAATGCCATGAACTAATTCGTATACAAGCAAACCATAATGTTCTTCTTTTCTATGTATTTTTGATCTAGAAGTGTATAGATGGATCATCAGAGATTCAGAAAAGAATAAATCATAGAATCATAGAATGGCCTGGGTTGGAAGGGACCTTAAAGATCACCTAGTTCCAACCCTCCTGCTGTGGACAGGGACACCTTCCACTAGACCAGGTTGCTCAGAGCAAGCCAACCCATCCTTTAACACTTCCAGGGATGGGGCATCCACAGCTTCTCTGGGCAACCTGTGCCAGTGCCTCACCATCCTCACAGTAAAGAATTTCTTCCTAATATCTAATCTAAACCTACTCTGTTTCAGTTTGAAGCCATTCCTCCTTGAATATCAGCAAACACCACAAAAATATTTTCCCTTGTTTAGTTGGAGCCTCTCCCACATCCCATGTTAACTTTAAGAATGGATGACAATAAGTATTTGTATGCATGGGGAGGTAAGTATTGGTTTTGGTAGGAAGTGAAAATCTTTATGGATAAACCTTTATCCGTCCAAAAGGAACAGAAGTGAATAAAATCTTATGGAGACAGCTAGCATTCCCTAAAGGAACTTTAGAATAGTGTAGAGGAACATTAAGCAATAGTATTTATATTGTCTAAATTCAGCTGTCTGGATGTCCATATAATTGATGAGCAGAAGTAGGTTCCAGCTTGCTCTGAGTCTCTCCTGAAGCACTCACTTGTCCTGGTTTTGGTTGGGATAGAGTTCATTTTCTTCACAGTGGCTAGTACATGACTGTGTTTTGTATTTGTGCTGAACACAATGATGATAATATAGAGATGTTTTTGTTACTGTTGAGCAGGGCTCACACAGAGCCAAGGCCTTTTCTGCTTATTGCACTGCCATGCTGATGAGGAGACAAGGGCTACGTGGGAAATTGAGAGGGGACACAGCCAGGATAGGTGACCCAAACTGACCAAAGGGATATTTCAGACCATATGACAGTATATAAAGTGGGGGGAAGAAGGAGGAAGGGGGGGATGTTTGAAGGCATTTGTCTTCCCAAGTAACCGTTACATGTGATGGGGCCCTGCTCTCCTGGAGATGGCTGAACACCTGCCCATGGGAAGCAGTGAATTAATTCCTTGTTTTGCTTTGTTTGCAGGTATGGCTTTTGCTTTCCCTATTAAACTGTCTTTATCTCAACCCATGAGTTTTCTCTTTTACCCTTCTGATTCTCTCCCTGATCCCACCAGTGGGGCTGTGTGGGGCTCGGTTGCTGGCTGGGGTTAAACCACAACATCACTTTTATCCACTATTTGTATATGTGTCCTATTATAGACACTTGGGGTAAGATAGTATGAATCCCTGCCTGACTAAACAGTTTAAACATAAAATATTTTTATTGCCATACATTGTTTTGAGTGTGGATGAACAAAAGTCTCTGGAATAAGGTTCAAACCCAACCATGGACCACAAAAGAAACAGTGGCACTCAGAAAAATATGGCAAAATCTACAGCCTGCAGTATACAGAAAAGTAAGGAAAGGTGAAGTAATGCAGGTTTTAAAAGTATTTCTTTTGTGCAGAAAAATAGAAAACATTCTGGACAAATGAAACCCCAATTCTGATTCTATTACATTCAATCAAACTGTCCTACTTTAATCATCACAAGGGTTAAGAACATTAGACCCAAAGCAAAGACTACCACCAGCCAGTCAAAATGGATAACTGGTAGCACCACATTATACTCCATGCATCTCAACTACTACAAAGCAACTAGACACACACTTTGCCAGTGGCTTTCACAACCATTTGCTGACATCAGAGGAACAAAAAGACTAAGGAACTTAGGTTTTATTCCAGGTTCCAATAAAGTTTGCTTTAATGATTAAAAGCCACTATAAACCTGCTGCCCAAATCTATTTTTTGTCTCTTTTCTTTCCACACTCTTGTTTCTGTTACATCTCCTCCTTCTCTGTCAGTATCCCAGTAAGGCTTTTCTCCTTTCTCCTCTGAGTACCATCAGAAAACCTGAAAGATTACCTTCCCACTCAATTTTGGTGCTTGACAGAAGCATAGCCCATTCAGTGTCAGATCTGGTAAAGAGAGTTCCAGTCAATCTTAGTACCCTATAGCCACTGCATGGTTAGTTGCTTCATACAGGTGGTATATATTTAGAAATGTAAAGGTATTGAGAATTCCTAGAGTTTAGGCAGGCTGTTTACAGAACATAAATATACTTTAGGCAAATTTCCAATTTAATTTTTCAAACCTTTTTTTTCTTCAGTCAATTGTTTTTGCCTACAATTTGGTAAAAAATAAGCCAACTTTTATCAGGAACATGAAATTACACAACCTAAAGGCAAAGTGATACTAATTCCTTGTTCTTCATACAACGTATGAAGGCACTAAAGGCTATCAAATATATATAACATTTCTTTTGTATGGGCAAATGAACATACTTTCTTCATACCTAACTTTCGTAAATTGTTAAACCATTCAAGATGAAACTTTATGAGAACAATCTAAGGCAAATACCCAGCACAAAAAATTTCAGCTTAAAAGGTTTAAGTTTGGCAAACTTCTAATCACCTGAAAAACCAAGTCTTTTCATAAGAAGTCTTGGACAATTTCAAATAGATAAATATAAAATAGATACAAATAGCTGCCAACTGAATCTGTAATACAGCAATATGTTTTCATTAGTTACAAATAATTCTTTAAATCAAAATAACACCATGTTTGACAAAATGCCTCTAAACAGCAGAAGGCATCACTATTTACAGTAGCAGAAGATGTATAAAAGAATAAATTTTTCAAAATATCACTTTTAAATTTAAGAACTCTTAGGTCTGGAATTTTTTTTTTAATTTAGTCTCGAAAACTTACCTGTTCATGTGTGTTAATGTTTGATCAAATGAATGTTCTCCAATTCTTTTATTTCCAGAAAGATCTCTACCTCCACTCCCAGTATAAGTGAATTCATCTCCTCGGTCCTGTGTAAGAAGATTATCCTCCATTTTAGCATTCTGGATTAAAGCATCTGAACTGAAAACCTGTTCCTTCATTGGTTCTATTTACTCAAAGAAGAACAATTGCCTGAGGCAAAATAAAACATGTGCTCTGTTTTATCATCATTCTCCTTTCAGAGTAACAATGACAGCAAAAAGTTACTGGTTCAGATGCAACATATTATATCAGAAAGTGATTATAAAAAAATACACCTGCCTTAAAATATTATTTGAACTCCTACTTTTAGTCAGACAGATATTTCTGATAGAGGGAATGCATTCTAGCTAGTATTTTCTGATTCTCTAACTTCACAGCTTACAGGAAAATCCCATTTGGAAAATGTCCTCACTTCTGCGTGTTCGTGGGACTGAGCACCAATACGGCAAAGCACTTTGTACTTAAATACAAGTAGTTTACTTCAATAACACTATACTCATTTACTATCTGGTAAAAATATTCAGGAAAAAAAATACAAAGAAAAAAAGAGTTGTCTAAGGGTGGGGTTTTTTTGTTTGTTGGTTTGGGGTTTTTTGCATTTGCAGAGGTTGCCTCACCTAAATTTCAGTTGTTCTGAACTACTAAGAGCTTAGAAGGCTTTTTCAGATGCAAATTTTGTGAAATTGAATAAAGGTTGATTAAACATTCCTTTAAAACAAGCTTTAAAAATAATTAAAATATACATAGCACTTAAGTGAAGCCGCTATTATTATTTTTTCATTAACCTGTCACAAATTCATAATACTCATAACAAATCCAAGTATTTTAGAAAAGACACAAATATATTTATAATAATGTCTCTCTTTTAAAATGCAAATCTTTTACAAAGCATGAAGCGTTGGTATGAAATGAATACTTAGCAAATTAGTAATTTTCATATGAAGTTTCAGAGCAGAAAACCTAAACATACTGGTATTCAGTAGTAAAATTCAGTCAATTTCTAGCCACTATTAAATGTTTGATATCAGCATGGAACCAATACCAACTCACTGCAAGATTATTACAGCTATTTTATGACTGGCAATAACAGAACAGAGAAGTGTCATGACAGAAAAATGTTGGTTGTACAGGGCCATAAAGTAATTATAGAAATGCTCTTTACATTAAACTGTGTAGAAAAATCTTAATAAATTCAGCAATAGAGCTACTGGAGTATTTATCTTTCCTTGTTATTTAGATATAACAAAAAGAAAACACTAGAAGGTAAAAAATTTGGGTTGGAAAAAACCCTGAAAATACAATATTTAAGGAAATGATAGTAATCACAAACTGGGAGGTTTTTACCTCTTTTACAGCATTGTTGAGACAAGTATTGGAATGACATATTTAAAGGGATGTTAAAAAACCTGGAGGGAAAGAAGCGAAGAAATGAACAAAACTGGAGAAACTCAGAAGAGACAAAGAGTATAGTCTGATTACTTTAGCAAGAAATATTTTATACATGTACCTTCATAAAGGTACCTTCATGAATACTGAAGACAAAAATACTTTTTATCTAACAGACAAATATAAATCAAGAAGAAATAGATAGAGCCTTAAGTCAAATTCAGATGAAAGGCACATATTTAACTGTACTAATAATTAAGCAGTTGTCCTGGCTACAGAGAGGGGGCAGAGCGTGGCTTGCTTGCTATTCTATACCACCCATGTCATCACGGGGGGGGGTGGTTTTGTGAGGATGAAAAACGTGAGTGCATGCCAGAAGTGTGCCATTTTGTTCTGCCTCTTCCTTGGGGAATTTGCTGGGACCAGCCCTGCGGACTCTGTTCTCCCACCACCACCCATCCCTTCCTGTCACTCAGGAAAAATGCAACTCCAAGAGGTGGCACCATGTGGAATTGAACCAGCGAGTGGTCCAGAAGCTGGAGACGTGGCACAATGCAGTTGATCTGTTATTTTGGGGGTTTGTCTGTCATTGCTTTTTGTTGTCTCAGGCTTGGGGACAGGGAATGCCTGCTGCGGGGAGTATCTGCCATCTTGTCTTTGTCTCGGTGGCCACGCAGAACTGAGTCAAGGTGGTGAATACCTTTTGTGTGTAAAGCACCTTCTCTTTTGTATACTTCTGTTATTAATATTGTTGCAGTTACTGTGCATTTCTTATTCCATTGCTGCTTGTTTTCAATACATTGTTATTTCAACTCACAGTCTCTGCCTTTGTCCCTCTCTCACCAGGTGGGGGGGAAGGGAGGAGCAGCTTATTTGGAGTTTAATTCTCAGATGGTTTTTAAACCACCACACCAGTAAAACCAATTTCCATGGGAAACAGGGAGTTCTCAAAATTTTGAGGCCTTCAAAGTAAAATTAGATGACTCTGGAAGATATTCTTTAGTCAGAGCTATATTTTAGATATTGGTCTTAACAAAGAGATAAGATAGATATAAGGCCTAGGCATACATACTTACTTGACCTATAAACCTTCAGTGTTCTACACACGAGTGGGCAAAATGCTATAGATTTCAGATAAACTGGAAATCCAGGAGAAGAAAAATGAGGCCAGTTCTGTTTGATATCTTCATCAATGAGGGGGATGAGGGGATCGAGTGCACCCTCAATGTTTGCAGATGACACCAAGTTGGGTGGGAGCGTTGATCTCCTTGAGGGTAGGAAAGCTCTACAGAGGGATCTGGACAGTCTGATTGATGAGTTGAGGCCAATCGTATAAGATTCAACAAGGTGAAGTGCCAGATCCTGTACTTGGGTCACAACAACCCCATGCAGTGTGATAGGCTTGGGGCAGAGTGGCTGGTAAGCTGCTCAGTGAAAAAGGACCTGGGGGTGCTGGTCAACAACCGGCTGAACATGAGCCAGCAGTGTGCCCAGGTGGCCAAGAATGCCAATGGCATCCTGGCTTGTATCAGAAATAGTGTGGCCAGCAGGACTGGGAAAGTGATTGTCCCCACTGGTGAGACTGCACCTTGAATACCATGTTCAGTTATGGGCCCCGAATGACAAAGACATTGAGGTCCTGGAGTGTGTCCAAAGAAGGGTAATGAAGCTGGTGAAGGGTCTAGAGCACAAGTCTTATGAGGAGCGGCTGAGGGGACTGGGGTGGTTTATTCTGGAAAAAAGAAGGCTCGGGGGGACCTTATTGCTTGCTACAACTACCTGAAAGGAGGTTGTAGCGAGGCGTGTGTCAGTCTCTTCTCCCAGGTAACAGTGATAGGAAGAAAAGAAATGGCCTTAACACCGAAAGGGTTGTCAAGCATTGGAACAGGATGCCCAGGTAAGGGGTTGAGTCACCATCCCTGGACGTATTTAGTGTAGATGTGACACTTAGGGACATAGGGTAGTGGTAGACTTGGCAGTACTAGGTTAATGGTTGGATTTGATGATCTTAAGAGTCCTTTCCAGCCTAAATGATGACTATGCTGCAGTCAGATGATGCAGTCTATGATGACTGCTACAGATCTAATTATGAGAGGTGACATCTCTTAGCACTTTTCAGTATAACAGTACTCATTACCTCATTTCTGCTCATCTTCTCAAAAGAACTTTCCATGCTAGAATATCAGACTGAAACAGAGCTAGGACCTAAAGAGTTAACTCTGAATACTGATCCGGGGACCCTCCTGCTCAGAAGAATGCAATGCTTAGCTAGTGATTCAGGGTATTTGCAACTGGGAACCGGTTTGGGAACACGATCCCTGGGTCAGCTGGTATATTACTGATGCTCGGATGGTTGGACGATCCGGTGAGAGTCTTTCCTTAGGAGATTAATATCTGTCAGCAACAACCAGTACATTGTAAATAGATATTCTATGCATGACGTGGTGGGATAGATTGAAAAATACCTTTAGATGGGAACCGAAAATTCGTAAGAAACCAACTCAAATAGAAGGTGCAGATTGGAGTTTAGCAAAGGCAAGACTAGAACAAGAAATCCAACGGGGAGAAGCACTCGAGGAATTACAAGAGGTATTAAATAAATTCAAAAGGCACCTAAAATACAAGGGGTACGATTTTTCCGTAATCCAAGACTTTAATAGCTGGGAACCTGTGTGGGCTTTTGATCCTTATACAGGGTGGTATCTTACTGACGCCCAAGTAAAGAGCGATATCACGCAACCCCCAGATAAGTATCTATAACGATTATTGACTAAACCACCCTTGCTTCAAAAGGTACCCCCTTAAAACAGAGCACAAAAATCACATATTAAGCTCCTATAATAATGGGAAGCCAACAAAGTAAAGAAGTAAACTTAAAAACCCCCTTAGGATGTATTCTGAAACACTGGAAAGAATTGGGTGGAATTCCAGAAGGAAACTTAAATAAAAGGACATTATTGAAATATTGCCAAGACTGGTGGTCATTGTACACTCTAGATGATGGAGAAAAGTGGCCTCCTGAAGGAAGCATTAATTATTATACAATCTTACAACTCATATTGTTCCTTCGTAGATTGCAAAAGTGGGATGAAGTGGTCTATGCCAAAATGTTTTTCACTTTAAGAAATAAGCCCGAATGGTAAAGGGACTGTGGAATAAATATCCCACCCCAAGATCCCTTTGTTTTGACATTAGAGAAAGATCAGAAAAATTTCAAACTGAAGGAACGCTGCTGTGATGCCTGTAGCATTGGACAGCAGTGTCTGAAGCTAGGAAGGAGGAATAGCGAGGAAGAAAGTATAATAGACCTCCAAGAACTACAGCCGAAAGGGCTAGAAATAATAAAACAGAAACACAGCAGCACACATGAAATAGATACAGAAAGCATAGCAGAAAGCAGAGATGACCTGGAAGAAGGAACTAGCCATTCATATTGAACCAGGGCTGCTGAACGAAAGGCTAGAGAGAAGATGGGGGGGAAAAGCGAAAACTAAAACCGAAATTAGCCATACAATCGCCCCTCTTTGGCAAATAATGTCACCCTTGGGGGAGCGGACAAGGATAAAGGTACCTCTCTCAGCAAGCGATTTAGACAGATGGAGAGAGGATGCAAAATGCTTTAGCGAAAACCCAGAAAGAGTAGCTAAGAAATTCGAATTAA